AATTTCACAGGAATTCAATTATTTACAAAATTTTTAATAAAAATTTTTTCGAAATAATTCAAATATTTTCATAAATAATAAATTTTTCATAGGAATTTAATTATTAAAAATAAAAAATTTCATAAAATTTTTCGAAAAATATCAATTTTTAAAAAAGATTTTTCTAAAATTCGTCGCAAGAATTGAATTATTTAAAAAAATTTAACACAATTCTTTTCAAGAATTCAATTATTATTTTTATAAATAATAAAATTGTTCGCAGAAATTCAATTATGATAAAAAAAATCTTTGTCAAAATTTCAAGTATCTTTATAAATTAATATTAAAATTCTTTTCCGAAATCCAATTATTTTAGAAAAATTTTAATAAAATTTTTGGGATAATTTTAATTAATTTCATGAATAATAAAACTCATCGCAGGATTTTAATTATTTTTGATACAATATTTTAATCGAATTTCTCGAAAAATGTAATTATTCTTAAAAATTTTATTAAAATTTGTTTTGACAAATTTTAATAAACATTCAATTATTTAATAAATTATTTATTTTTTAATTTTAATAATTGAATTCTTCTAGAATTTTCTAATAAAAATTGATTTAAAAATGAATGACCGAATAATCAGTTTATTATTTATGAAAATAATTGAATTATTGCAACGAATTTTATTACATTTTTTTTAAATAATTTAATTTTTTTGAGAAATTTTACTATTTGTAAAAATAATTAAATTTTTGCGAAGGATTTTATTAGGATTTTTGTAAATAATTAACTTTTTTTGAAAAATTTTATGGTAATTTAAATTATTATAAAACATGAAGAAGGCGATTACTGAAAGTCTTCTTCATGTTTTGTAATAATATTCTTTTAAGTTGTTGAATTTCATAAAGGTTTGAATTTGAATGTTTTGAAAAATTTGAATTCCTACAGAAGAATAATAATGATTAAATATTTATTTAAAATAGAAGTTGTTGATTTTTTTTGAATAATTTTATAATTAAAGAAATTTGTAAATAAATGTAATAGAACATTTTTTTGAGTATCTAATATTTTTTAGAGTGAATCAAAATAATCTTTAGGGTCAGGGAAAAAGTGGAAATTTTGTCTGGAAATCAGGGAAAAGTCAGGAAAAAAAGGCAACTCTGATTAAAATCGAATCATTTTTAAAAAATTTTATAGAAACTATGTATATGATAAAAAATTTGAATTATATATGCAAGTTGTAGGAACAAATAAATTTTTGTCCCCTTTTTGAGGAAAAAAATTCACCTTTTCACCTTTTTTGAGGAAAAAAGGTACTGTAATGCCTGTCTTTTCCCTGCAATTCTAAGAATATTTTAGCTGATACATTTAAATTTTCCGTTGCTTCTCTTTCGTTGGTTACGCAGGTTGGATATAATGTAACTTCCTCCAAACCACAGATATTTGTTTCACTTCTTGCAACATGTTATATATATTTACGAATATGATCACGCAAACCTACCGACAATTTTGTGGTTTACTTTCCTTTAGAATTCCCACACACACACATATATCAAAAGTATAAATTTTTATTTTAATTCGTTGTAGTGTTTTAAATTAGGCCTCAATAAAACATTACTGAATCAAAATTTGTGTTAACGATAAATAAATAAATAAATAAATAAATAAAACAAGGGGAAAAATGTGTAATTTGTAATTACATTTGACCCCTTGTTTTGTTTATTGTTGTTTATTGAAAATTTGACGAAAACCTTATTTGTTTCGAAGCGAGTTTCGAAGGCTAAAATCGGTAAAATCGGTAAAATGTAGTGTCCTGAGGAAAGGGTGACGTTAAATTTTGTTAAAATCGGGTTGACGTTTTGGTGGCTTCAGTAAAATAAAAACCGGATCTGAAAGAGGCGAAAGAACGGTTTCAGAGTAAAGCGTAAAGCGAGTAAAGTAAACCGAGCTAGCGTCATCGTCAGCAGCAAGCAGATGGGCTGTGTACACGAAAGCAAACCAAATGACTATGTAGGTGTCATTTTTCAAAATGGTGTGAGTGAATGAGTGTGTGCTCTGGAAGGACCTGCTCGCATCTTTAAAAAGTTATCGACACAAAGGACCTGTTAAGGTTCCAAGCGTGGGTCGTGAGAAAAAATATATTCTTCTTCTCATTCGCTTTCTTCTCTCTCTCTCTCTGCAAGACCTTTTTTATTCCCCTCGACCTGAAAGTGCCTGAAAGTGCCTGAAAGTTACTTCAAAATATAAAAGCGTCGAGATCAGAACAGGAATTTTCTTAAAGTCACTATTCTACTTCTTCGTCTTCGTCTTTTCATGGAAGACTGCGTCTTGCCCTTTTACTAATCTCCTTTACTTGCAGTGCTCTTTGTAACATTGCGTTTTATCCCTTTGTTATCCATTTCTTATTCATTTTTTCGAGTTTTGCAGGTTTATCAAGATGGAAACTGTTATGGTAATCTTTCCTTTTTAAGTGCATGTTCAACTTAAACGTCTGGAAAAATAGTGTCTCGAGTTTTTGCACTTTGATTATTGTTTTCTTATAAACATAAACATAATATTTATTCGCGCTTTCTCCATAAAGACGTCGTTAAATTAAAATTTTCTGAGTTCTTTTCTAAAACGTTTTTATTGCGATAATAACAAATTTGCTAGAATTTAAAATTAAGAATCGGCATAAATTAAATTGATGAATATACTTGTTAAATTCAGCAATATTTAAAAGTAAATTTTAGAATATAAAAATTGCTTCATAGTTATAGATTCTGCGGATTTGTCCTTGAAAAGTCAGTTGGATCAATAAGGAATTTTATGTTGGGAATCGATCAAACAAAAGTCAAATTTCTTTTTCCATTCTCGGCTTATAAGTTATTATTATTATAAAGAAAATGACTATTTAAAAAAAAAAAAAAAAAAAAAAACTATTCTTTTATTATTATTATTATTAAATTTTGTGACACAAATAATTTAAACACCAAAAGCAGGCTTCGCACTCATCTACTAAAACCTACTATTTACTACTTTTTTTACGTTATGCTACGATTTCGGTACTTTTTTTTACATTTCATGCACTAAAAGCTACTATTTCTGTTTTTTCTTAAGAATTTCGACTACTTTAAATTCGCTAATACTATAGAAATCAAAAAAATATTTAAAAAAATTATAATTTAAATTCTTTAAAACGATTTAATTATTTTCAAAAAATATTCCAAATTCAATTATTTTCAATATCTAGTATTTTCAAAAAATTTCGTACAAGAATTCAATTATTGTTTAAAAATAAAATTGATAGAATTCATTCAAAATTCAATTATTTTCATAAATATAATAAAATTTCCACTAGAATTCAATTAATTTAAAATACCAGTTCAAAAAAAATTTCAAAAATCAATTATTTAACAAAATTTTTCAAATTTTTATACAATTCTTCTCAGTAATAAATTCAATTACTTTCACTAATAATAACATTTTTCATGAAAATTCGATTTTTTAAAAAAATTCTAAGCAACAATTCAATTATTTTCATAAATAATAAAATTCTTGTCAAGAATTCAATTATTTTTGAAAATTTTAATAAAATTTTTTGCAACTATTGAATTATTTTTAAAAATGATAAAATGAATCTCTGGATTCAATTATTTATAATACAATTCTACAGGCATTGTTAAAAAAATGTAAGTATTCTTAAAACTTGAATTTCAATTCCATCGAAAAAATCAATTGTTTAAAAAAATGTTGTTTTTAATTTTTTGTAAGAATTCAATTATTTCCAAGAATATTAAAATTTTTCACCGAAATTCAATTATTTTCAAATATTATAATAAAATTGTTCGAAAGAAATCAATTATTTTAAATTCAATTTTAATTAAATTTTTTTGAAATAATTCAATTATTCTTTTAGATTTTAATAAAATTCTTCCCAAGAATTCAATTATTTCCATAAATAATTCTTCTTAAGACTTCAATTATTTTTTAAAAAAATCTAATAAAATCTGTCGCAAGAATTCAATTATTTTCATAAATAATAAAATGCTTTTTAGGAATTCAATTATTTTCAAAAAGAAATTAATAAAATGCTACACAGACATTCAAAATTCATTTATTCTATTAAAATTTTTGTTTTTATTTTAAAAAACTTTTTGCAATTTAATGACTTTCAATATCTACTATTTTCATAAAATTTCCAAACAGAATTCAATATTATTGAAAAAATGGTTTGTAAAAATTTTGGTAAAGAATTCAATTATGTATATTCAAAATAATTAGGAAAAAGTCAGGAAAATAAAATGGAATTTTTGTCAGTTTTGTGATTTGTCTAAAACGAGTTTTTTTTAGTTGTCAAGTTTAATTTTTGAATAGCTACTTGTTGATACTTTTTTTTAAAAATTTATTATTGAGTAGTGCGAAGTCTTGAAAAGAAACTGTATAGCTCAAAACTAGTTATATAAGCTTACATATTTCCAAAATAAACGTACCGTTTTGTAAGGACAAAATAGGTACAATAAAAGAAAACGGGAAAAAGTTTATTTTTAGAATTTCTGAATGGAGAGAAGAATGTTATTTTACCCTACAACTAGATTTACGTAGAGCATATTTTCTCTCGGTTTCTCTCTTTGAAATTACTTCCATGGCAAAAGACACCTGGGTTTACTCGTTTAGACGCTGGGCAAATATTTATATTACATATATGTTATTGTTTCGCTGCCTATTCACGGATTATATTATTATACATAGTCCCAGACAGACAGTTTGCAAATAATGAAATAGAAAATAATTTATCTTTAGCAGAATGTCAAAAGATATTTTTGCGATTTTTGGCATTTGGCCACCATCTTTTTTTATTTATTTTCATGACATTCACAACGTCTAGGAATTTCTTAAAGGTTTTTGTGCCCTTGATATAAAGGCACTGACATTATATATTATACATACATAAGAGACTGACCATTCAATTTCTTGCAACCAAACATTTTCCTGTTTTCCTGGAAAGAAGGTACTTACAGTTTTCTTTCTCTTTTCAGGGTGGCTTTGCGAAAGTTTACCTTATAACCGACATTTCAACGAGGAAACAGTATGCTTGCAAAATTATTCCCAAGAATCGAATGCAGAAGATTCACATGCAAAAGGTAATCTTTAATTTTTATATTAAATGTTTGAGTTTTAAAAATTTTCTATAATTTAAATTTTTTTTTGAAAACACTAAAAAAATTCAATTTTTGAGAAATTACAAATTATTGCAGAAATTCAATTGTTTAAAAAAAAATTCTTTTTATAAAATTCATTATGTTCAAAATTTGAAAAAAATTCTTGTAAAAATCTCAATTATCTTTATAAATAACAAAATTTTTCTCCAAAGTTCAATTATTTTCATAAATGTCAAAAAAAATTCTTGCCCTAATTTCAATTATTTTCAAAAATTTTTTTTAATTTAAATGATTTTCAATATCTACCTACTATTTTATTAAAGTTTCCCAAAAAGAATTCAATTATTTAAAAAAATTTTCAATAAAATTGTATGCAAACATTTTCACCTATGCATTTTCATGTATGCAAATTATTTTCATAAATAATAAAAATTGCACAGGAATTCAATTAAAAAAAAATTTTTTTTTAAATTTAAAAAAAATTTTAAAAAATAAATTAAAAAATAAAAATTATAATAATAATAACAATAATAATAATAATAAAAATAAAAAATAATTTAAAATTCTAGAAAATAATAATTGAATTAAAATAATGAAAATAATTTTGATGAAGTCACGCAGTAACAATATTCTTATAATATAAAATGATTTTATCTCTCGGTCATCTTTAATTATTAGAAAACATGAAGAAATCGAGTCTTCGACTCGGAGCAATCGATATCTTCATGTTTTATAACAATACTTTTATAAGTTGTTTAATTTAAAAAATGTTTGAATTTGAAATTTTTGAATTTCTTAATTCCTGTGGTAAATCCTGTTCCAAAAATAAGATTAAAAATAGGAATCGTGCAAATATTTTTCTTCTTTTTCAAAAACAAAATAATAATTTTGTTAAAAAATTGTGATTCATAAACAAAAGTCAAAGAAACTTGATTATTGTTCATGATAATTGTCAATAACAATGATAATTATTAACTTTAAAATCATTTTTCACTAAAATCGAGATAGATTACTTAAATAAACATAAAATTTGTCTGCATAGAAAAAGAATTTTTTATTAAAATGAACCAAAGTTATGTATTTTTTGTTAATTAACATTGTTTTCAACAATTTAAATAAATTGTACTATGCATTATTATATGTCTGATGGTCATGCTTGACTAATTTAAATTGATTTCAATCATTTGTAATGAAAAATAAAAAAAGTACTAAAAAATTCAATTGTTAATAACTTTTACAAACAATTTTTTTTTGGCTTAATATTTTCAGGAATTCTTCTTAACCATAATAATATTAAGAGTCAAAAAATATATATTTTGGTTTATTAAAAAGTAAATTTTTTAGTTTTAGGTAAGATCCGTTTGGGAAATTCTGACCCAATATTTTTTTATTTTTAACATATAATATTCCCGACAAACAGTCAGACAGACAAAGAGAATTTTTATTTGTGGCATGTTTGGAATCTTTACATACTACTGCTTCCATGCAAACATTTTTGATTCTATTTAATAGAAGATATAAGAGAGAATTCCCATTAAAGTAATTAATATTTTTTAAAGATATTGTTTATTTTGTAAAAAAGATTATGTTCTTTATGCTTAGATTGCGAGAGAGGTGACGATACACAAGGAACTGAATCATGTCAATGTCGTTCAGATGCATCATTACTTCGAGGACAACCTTAGTGTCTACATGCTCTTGGAAGCTTGTCCACGAAAGGTACGATACTTGACATTGTATGACCGAAAGCTGAACTCTTTGTCTTTAGCTCGCCGCATTCTTCTCTTATGCCTGAAAGTTCACATTCACTGTTACCGTAACAATTCTCATTTAACTTTCGCTCTCCTTTCCAGCCTCGATGACACACGCTCTCTGCCTTCATGTTGATTGTTATTCAAATGTACAAAAAAAAAGAAAGAGAGAGAGGTCACTCGTGGATTATTACAAAACCCAACTCAACGTATCTCTACTTCAATTTCATATGCAATCTTCAAGTACGTTTTGTTTTTTAAAATTTCGCTTCGAAAACATAAAAGAAAGCATCCTTGCCTTTGAACTTGACTCTTCCTTTCTTCGGTTTCGAATCAATGGCTATTTATAGATAAAAAAAAATTATTCTCAATTTTTATTTCCATTTTTTTTTAATTGGAATTTATTGCTTCATTTTGGCATTCTGGGCTCGAATCATGTCCGTAAATGCCGTAAAGGTCCGTAAATTTGCTTCAAGTCTGTAAAAGTCGGTTTTTTTTTAAAAAAGGTCCGTAAAGTTCGTAATTTGATAGAAAAAAAAATAAAAATTTTTATGTTATTATTTATTTATTATTTAATTAAACATAAAAACAAAAAAAAGTTCGTAAATTGTACGATATAATTTAAAGAACTTTACAGAAGTTACAAATGATTGCAGAAATTCAATTATTTTCAAAACTAATCAAATTCTTCGCAGAAATTCAATTACGTTCAAAAATTTTAAAAAATTCTTTGCAAAATTTCAATTATCTTTAGAAATATTAAAATTCTTCTCCGAAATTGAATTATTTTCAAAAATAAATTTCATTTTAATAAAATTCTTGGCAAAATTTCAATTATTTTCAAAAATTTCCCTCAATTAAATGATTTTTAATATTTATTATTTTAATAAAATTTTCCAATAGAATTCAATCATTTAAAAAAAAATTGATAAACTTCTACGCGAACATTTAATTATTTTCATAAAATAATAAAAATTTCACATGAATTCAATTATTTACAAATTTTTAGAAATACTTGATTACTATTCAATTATTTTCATAAATAATAACATTTTTTGCAGGGATACAATTATTTTCATAAATATAATTATATTAAAACTTATTATCACAGACTTTCAATTATTTTTAATACAATTTTAACGGAATTCCTCGAAAAATGTAATTATTTAAAAAAATTTTTTTTTTAATTTATCAAAAAAATTCATTTACTTTAAAAACCTTTGCTTCAATTTTATTTATTAAAATTTAAGTATTATTTTTAATATATTTTTAATTAAATTTCTTCAAAGAATTAAATTATTTAAAAATTTTTTAATAAAATTCGTCGTAGAAATTTAATTAATTTCAAAAATTTGTCAAAATTGAATTATTTCCAAGGTCTACTTACTATCTGAATAAAATTTCACAAAATAATTCAATTATTTGAAAAGAAATTTTAATAAAATTTGTCTCAAAAGAATTTAATTATTTTCAAAAGTAATATAATTCTTCGCAGAAATACAATTATGTTGAAAAATTTACAAAAATTCACGTGAAAATTTTAATTATCTTTATAAATAACTAGCTGCGATACCCGTCTTCGACGGGTTATTAGTTATTGTTATTCCTACTTATATATTAATAGCTGCGATACCCGTCTTCGACGTGTTTCTTAGTATTTTTATAGTTTTCCATATTGAGTATTGATTGGTATTTAACCAACTACATTGAAACTAATTTTCTTGATGATTATTAATATTAATTAATGAAGAAGAAAACGAAATTTTAAGGAAAGAAAAAAGATAATGTTTACAATTTTTAAAATCGCCCAAATGTGAAAACTATCATGGCTTAATAACGGCCCAGTACTGGCAAAGTTGTCACCTAGTCTTGGTCGATATTATTGGGACTACTCTTGTGGTGTTAATTACGGTTTGACGTCGGCAGACGTTAATGGCCCAATATTCACTGCCATTACTTTCCCAGTATTGGCAAAATACAAAAACTAATATAAATTATTCCATTTTTTATTAATTAACTACGTCCCAATATTGGCAATTATATTTTGCCATCATTGCAGATACAAAATTTTTACTATTAATGTGCCATTACTGAGCCGATCAACGTCCCAATATTCTGAAACTGAAAATACCAACGTTTATTCGACGAAAATTTTTACTTTAGCTAATTGCTTATTTTAATATTAACACCCTTTTAAAAAAATTACAAAAGGATCACGGATTTCCCGAAATTCCTGGAAATTCAACTAAATTATTGTTTCCTCGCCTCGCAAGCATTTTTTTCTCTTAATAATCAGAATCCATTTAAAAAAATTGCAAGAGGATTCGAGGCGAGGAAAGTTGTGATTTTTATTTTTTTGTCACGGATTTTCCAAAAATCCGAGAATTCAGTTTTATCCAATACTTTCAATTACAACTTGCCATCATAAATAGAAAAGTTTAGCCTAATAGTCTGATAATAATGTGCCACTATTGGTCCGTGCTAAATCCCGTTACCAGCAATGAGACGTTTTGAATGCCAGTATAGGCCCAGTAGTTTTTGCCAGTTTTCTGCAGACATTCACTGAAAAAATTACATTTTAATTTTAAGAAAATCTTAATATTAAAATCTTAATATTCTTATATTCCCCACTTAGATTATGTGGGAAATATTCTTACAATAAGAAGAAAATTAGTATTGTAAGAATATTTCCTACTTAATTTAAGTGGGGAATATTCTTGGCGCATATTTAAGAAGTTTTTCTTAAAATTAGAATGTAATTTTTTCAGTGCTGACGGGCCCGTTTTGCAGTCTTAGAATTTCGCATTTGGAGCTTATAAAAAACCATTTATTATCTTTTTTCCGAGAAGCACCACGTGGAGGTGACCACTATTGGTTGTTTTTGGCAAGTTTTTAAATCCCGTGCAGAAATAGCCCTAACAGGGCTCTGACCCCGCATGAAACCGGGAACCCGACCGGGCCCCGGCCTGGTAGCTCGTCCAATCGGGCTTTTCGTCATGGCGCTGGGCGGGTTCCCTGTTTCACCCCGGTCTGGACCCGGCCAGGCCCCTGTCAAAATTTCTACTCGGGATTATTCTCCAGGAGCTTTGTAAAACTAAAAAAAAATTCTTGTTAATTAAATTCGATAAGAAATATGAAACATTTCTATTTCAGTATTACTAAATTATCTTGGATCATAATTTGTAAAAACAAAAAACATCTTATTTAGAAGTAATAAGTAGGTAAAATCAAAAAAATTAGATATTAATATTTTCAATTTTTATGGGTAAAAATATTTAAACTTTTAAATTTTATATTTAAAATTCCTATTTTTTTCTATTTTTATGATAAAATTGAAATTAAAATTACCAAGAAAACAAATTAATTAATTAATTAGAAAATATCAATACCAACTTAATGCAAGAATTAATTAATATTTAACCCTTTGAGTAGCAGTGATACATTTAATTTATATGAACATTTTTTTGTTAACTTCTGTATAACTTTCTTGATTTTAAAAACTGAATATTGAAACAATTTTTTTGGTCCAATGAGGCAAATTTCTTGCTTTAAATACTGGTCTTTAAATAAAAAAAGTTTAATAACTTTCCATAAAAAGCTTGTTTAAAAATCAAAAATCATCATTTTTGTAGAAAAAATTTGATCAGAAAAATCGAAAAAAATTTCAAAATACGTCTTTTTTTGAAATTTTAGTATAGAAATGGGTTGTATTTATCTAAAAAGTTAGCTAAGGATAGTTTTTCATCCATTTTATAAAAAATAAAAATTTTTCATTTTTTTGATTTTTCGAATTTTTTGAAAAAATGTCGTAACTTTCGTTTAAGTTAATATTTTTTAATCGGATAAGGCTATGATTTTAAGTTACGTTAATACCTAATAGACTGCCAAGTTTCACTTCAATCGGTTGAACCGTTTTCAAGTGATGCGCGAACAAAGTTTTGCATACAGACAGACAGACAGACAGAAGGACAGACAGACAGACAGACAGATAGACAGACAGACATTTTTTTTTTTACATTTTTCGAATTCTCATGTCTCAAGAAGAAAAAATATATAAGAATTTTCAAGATTGGAGCAATGTACAGACAGAAGTCTGGTTTTATTAATATAGATAAAATTTTTCTCCGAAATTCAATTATTTTCAAAAATTTTTAATAAAATTCTTGACACAAAAAAAATTTAATTTGGGAGAAGTTACAAATTATTGCAGAAATTCAATTATTTTCATAAATAATAAAGCACATCGGAGAATTTTAATTATTTTTAGTACAATTTTAATCGAATTTCTCGAAAAATGTAATTATTCTTAAAAATTTTATTAAAAATCGTCCAAAGAATTTAATTATTTAAAAATTTCTTGATAAAATTCTTTATGAGAATTAAATTTTAAGAAACATTTAATTATTTTATAAATTATCTATTCTATTTGTATTTAAATAATTGAATTCGAGTAGAATTTTCTAATAAAAATTGATTTAAAAATGAATTTCAGTAAAAATTTAGATAATAATTGAATATCAAAACCAATATAACCTGAATTTAAAGAAATAATTGAATTTTGAAATTAATTTTTTTGAAAAAGTTTAATTAAATTCTTTTATATTATTCGAAGTTTTCATTTTCTAATATATGAAGAATTTACGAATATTTGTTTTTTTTGTTTCCTAACTTTGTTAATAATTTTTCTTTTTAAATATTTCAAATTTTTAAATTAATATGTATATTAAAAGTCATTGAATTCTTGCAAAGAATTTTATCAAAAAATTTGAGAATAATTGAATTTCTACAATCATTTGTAATTTCTGTAAAATTCTCCATATTACCTATACCGTACAATTTACGAACTTTTCGTCTTTTTCAGTTTTTTTCTATCAAATTACGGACTTTACTGACCTTTTTTTTCAAAAAACCGATTTTTACGGACTTGAATTTTTTGAAAATCCTAATTAAATTTTTTTGAAGAATTTCTTTCAATTTTGTTTAAAATGTTTTAATAATTTATATTTGGAAATTTTAACTGTAATTGGATTTTATAAACATTTTCTTTCAAGTTTTTAAAATAATCCTGTTTCTTGGTAATTGAAATTAAACAATTAAATTATTGAATTTTATTCAAATTTTTAGAAAATAAATGAATTCTTTTGAAAAATTTTATAACAAATTGTTAGCGCCTTATTGTACGTAATTCACGATAAATCACCGTATGAATGAACGTAAGTTTCGTTTGGTCCGCATAAACCGAAAAGGCGGACAGTTAGCATCATGGCGAGGTCGAGGCGTGATGTCTGAATGAGCGATGAGAGAGCGAAGTACGAACACGCGAATATTGTGCGAAAAGTAACATTGAGCGAACGAATTAAACATTATGTCATCTTCTTAACCATTAAAGTTTTATTTTAATCTTTCTTTTATTTAAATCAAGTGACTTTTATTATTTTGAACCCGGTTTAAAACCTAATAATTACTACAGTTTTGCTAATAAATTAAAGTTTCCAACAAAATTAAGAAAAAATTGAATTCTTTCGTGAAATTTTGTTGAAAATAATTAAATTTTTACAAAGATTTTACTATTTAAAAACATAATTGAATTGTTTCGAAGGATTTATTAAAATTATTCAAAAATTTATATTTGAAAATAAAAAATTTGCTAGTATTCTTATAATATAAATTAATGATTTTATTACTGGGCCATCTGTAATTATTATAAAACATGAAAAATAATTTATAGTCTTAAGTAAAATGTTCTCTTATTTGACTTGGACTGCTTATATTTTTGTCAGTATTGGTCCGTAAAGTCCGTATTTTTAAATACTTTCACTGGTTCGAGCCCTGTATATACATTGAATAAATAAATCAAAATTAATAATTGCAGAGAAAATAAAAAATTTTGCAGAAATTAATTGCTAAAGAAAAGAAGTAAAATCTGAGCAAAAAATTGAACAATATTTAATTATTGTTCAATAATATTAGTAAAAATAATAAGATTAATAATTTGGTTTGGGGTTTACCTTGAATTTACCTGCATAGAGGCATACTGACAACAGTATCTATTGAAGTGGAAGGAATTTAATGACGTTTTACCATGACAACCTTGACCTACGGTTTTTATAATTACTCCATGGTTCGCGTGATAATTTCTTAAAATAAAGCGGCGGTAATGGAAGAGAGTCGATCGAGCGTGCTGCATCGGCATCGCCGCTAGTTTGATGTGAAAATACAAGTGCTTCTGCAACAGCTGCAGGTGATGCAGAGTACTTTTTACGATGGCCAATGCAGCCTGCACATGCTAGTCGAAGCGAAAGGTGCATATTAGATTGCACATGACTTCAACTTCCTTGAAAAACCGTTTCGAATTTTATTTATATTTATATTAGGAACAGTTTCTTTTTCTCTAATTTATCAAATATACAAATATACAAATACAATTTTTCATTGAATACTTGTTTAAAAACTGAATATTATATCTTATTCTCAGAACTTTCATTCTTCGTTGAATAATTTATTTCACAATTTTATTTTTTTATTTTTTATTATTTACTGTTTTCAATCAAATTACAAGACTATTTCATATTAAAAATGCTACTAGCGTTGACCTACATTTTCATCCTATTTTCTTTGAATTTCATATATCTGTTTTTCTTTCTCCTATAAATCATTTTCGCTTTTCATTATAATTTTTGTTTTTACATTTGAATACTAGAAGCGATGAATATGTTCAGTCGTAAATTATTATTAGCGGAAATTTCTCTTATTATTTGTCGCATATCGTCGGGTATTTTTTCGCCACTTATAAAAGAGAGAAAGCTTAAATGTGAACTAAACGAACAATTTTACGATTTTACATCATACAATCCACAAAAATGGTTTTCGCCTGAATGGAAATAAAATTAATACATAAAAGGAAGTAGAACACAGAAATCTTAAAGTGCCATGAAATATCAAAACCAGTTTAGGATTCAGATAATTTATATTGTATAAACGCTTTTTCACATCAATGAGAATAATGAGATTTCTTAATAATTTATAGAGGTTTAAAAATTAATGAAATAATTATTTATTAATTTAATTTTTTCAGCTGTATTAACAATTAGATAAAAGGAAAATTTATAAACTATTAATTTACAGTAATACTATTTTTGTTTTATAAAGTGAGACAGTGTTTGGTGTGTTATTTTGAAAAGTCTTTGTCGATTATTTTCTATATGCATAATATGCGTATGGGGAATAATGGTGCATTTTGTAAAAGAGAAATCGTAGTTGAGTAATAGGTTGAGAATGATTCAGAAGTAAAAACTAAAAAGTGAGTTAAAGTATTTAGAGTATGGTGATTCATCTCCACATGGTATGTTTCAGAGTCTGATGCACGTGTTGGGTTATCGTGGCAAAGTAACGGAACCGGAAGCCAGATACTACATGAAGCAAATGGTAACAGGAGTTGCTTATATTCATTCGCAAAAAGTCGTTCACAGGGATTTGAAACCTGGCAATATGTTTCTCTCGGAGCGAATGATTGTCAAAATCGGAGACTTCGGATTGGCCACTCGCCCTGATGGTCAACGCAGAAAAGTGTAATTATTCATTTCCCACAAATTAATTTCATATATGAAACAGGGAATTCAAGGAAAAGTCAGGGAAAGTAAATTTGATCAGGAAAATCAGGGATTTTTTATTAAGAGTCTTGGAAAATAGTAAATTTTTAGAATTTAAAAAGAAATTCTGAATTTTATTTATTTTTTTTTTTGCATCATAAACAATGAAATTACTGCGAATTCCAATACAAAACCTTCAATTTTTTCTATTTCTGACAATAATTTCTTTTTAAATAACATAATTTTTCATGAACTATCATAAAATTATGACACATCAATAATTTAATGAATAATTTTACTTAAATATATCTAAATTAATTGAATTTTACAAGAATTGCGTTTACAATTTTCATAAATAGATGAACTTCAAAAGGTTTGAATTTTAAATTTTACAAAATTTCAATTTTGAATGAATTTAATTAGAAATTTTAATGAACCTAGATTTTTAAAAAATTTTAATAATTCAAATTCTTCTGAAATAAGTTACATTTTTTAATATATATATATATATATTTAATTAATTATTAAAAATAATAGATTTATAGAAAAATTTTAGTAAAAAACACTTTTTATAAATTGAATTTTGGAGAAGTTACAAATGATTTCAGAAATTCAATTATTTTCGAAAGTAATAAAATTCTTCTCAGAAATACAATTTAAAATTTTTTTAAAATTCTCGTCAAACTTTCAATTATCTTTAAAAATAAAAAAATTCTCCAAAATTCAATTATTTTCAAAAATTTTTCTCAATTCAATAATTTTCAATATCTACTATTTTAATAAAATTTTCTCAAGGAATTCAATTTTTTAAAACAAATTTTAATAAAATTCTACGCAAACATTTAATTATTTTCATAAAAATAATAAAAAGTTCCCACGATTTCAATTATTATTTACAAGTTTTTTTTATAAATTTTTTCGCAATAATTCAATTATTTGTATGAATAATAAAACTGTTCTCAGAAATTCAATTGTTTTCAAGAATTTTAATAAACTTCTTTGCAAAATTCCATTTTTTTCATAAATAACAATAATATATAAATCACGAGAATGAAATTATTATCAAAAGAGTAATAAAATTCAATTAAAAAATTTAATTATTTTCAAAACTTAAAAAAAAATTCTCGTTATGATTTCAATTATCTTTATAAACAGCAAAATTCTTCGCTGAAATTCAATTATTTAAATATTTAAATAAAATTCTACGCAAACATTTAATTATTTTCATAAATAATAAAAATTTCCCACGATTTTAATTATTTACAAATTTTTTATAAATTTCTTCGCAATAATTCAATTATTTTCATAAATAATAAAATTTCTACACACTGAGAGAAGTTAAGCGCAGATGCTGAATAGAGCACAGTACAGATGTTGAACCTAACCTTCGAGCAACATCGGTTCCAGTTTGGAATAGATTCTGCGTTTTTAATTTATTTTTACAGAGATTCAATTATTCTTATATAAATATTAAAGAACTTTTTCAAAAATAATTAAAAATAATAAATTTATGGAAGATGTTTAGTTAAAAACAGGAAAGAAAATTCAATTTTGTAAATGTTACAAATTATTGCAAAAATTCAATTATTTTCAAGAGTATTTATTTATTTCTTTATTTAAAGTTTGGCTGGACAAAAACGTCCTTAACAAAAGAGATCTTATATTCTAAAGAAAATTACAAAAGAAATAAATCATAAGACTGGCCGAAGTAAATGAAATTTAATCAAATGATAAAATCGTGTTTTTAAGATCACTGATAAATCTGTTCTCATTTGAATTGAAAAAATCAATGAAATCGGAATATTTGTTTGCCTCCACACTAATTCTTGAAAAAACCGAATTAGCAGCATAATTACAGCGGTGATGTTGTTCATAGAAGGGTAAATAATTACGCAATCTCCTAGTAGGCACATAAAAGTTAATTTTTAATAAGAGAGCAGGGCACTTGTACTACTGATTGATCACTTTGTATAAAAATATCATATCATTATATAAAAATCTAGATGTTAGAGTAGGTATTATTATATTCTTCGCAAAAATTAAATATTGTTCAAAAATAATAAAATTCTTCTTACGGATTCAATTATTTTCACAAATAATAAAACTCATTGCTGAATTTTAATTATTTTTAATACAATTTTAATCAAATTTCTCGAAAAATGTAATTATTCTTTAAAATTTTATTAAAATTCGTTGAAAGAATTCAATTATTTGAAAATTTGTTGATAACGATTCTTTATGGGAATTGAATTTTAAGAAACATTCAACTATTCAATAAATTACTTATTTTTGTATTTAAATAATTGAATTGTCGTAGAATTTTTTAATTATAATTGATTCAAATATGAATTTCAGTTAAAATTGTAGATAATTGAATTTCGATCTTTGAATGTTTGAATTTTTCATACTTTTAACAGAAAGTTGTGTAGATTTAATTTTTTTGAAAAAGTTTAATTATTACAAAAGTTATAATGCAATTATCTTGATAAATAACAAAATTCTTCACAGAAATTCAATAATTTTTAGGAATTTTAATAAAATTCTTTACAAAATTAAATTATTTTCATAAGTTACAATATTCATCCCAAGAATTCAATTCTTTTCAAAAGTAATGAAATTCTTCGAAAAAATTCAATTATTTTCTAAAAAATTTTCACGAATATCTCGTCAAGAATTCAATTATCTTTACAAATAGCAAAATTTTTCGACGAAAATTCAATTATTTTTGAAAATTTATCAAAATCTTTGCAAAAGTTCAGTTACTGTCAAAAGTTTTTTGCAATTCAATAATTTTCAATATTTACTATTTTAATAAAATTTATCAACAGATTTAATTATAGAAAAAACTTTTTGATACAATTCAACGAAAAGATTCAATTATTTTCATAAATAATAAAATTTCATTTACGAATTCAATTATTTTCAACGCAGAATTTCAAATATTTTTAATACAATTTTAAATAAATTCCTTGAAAAATACAATTATTCAATAAAACAATAAAATTCGTTGCAATAATTCAAATATTTTCATAAATAACATTTTATTCGTCGCAGAAAATCAACTATTTTCAAAAAATTTTAAGGAATTTTCCAAAAGAATTCAATTAGCTTGATAAACAACAAAATCGCATAAATTCTTCCCATAAAATCAATTATTCTAAGGAATTTTGATAAAATTCTTTTGCAAAATTTAATTATTTTGATAAATATCAAAATTCATCACAAGAATTCAATTCTTTTGAAAAGTAATTAAACACTTTGCAGAAATTAAATTATTTAAATTTTTTTTTTTAAATTCTCGTCAGGAATTAAATTATTTTTATAAATATGTAGGGAAATTCTTCTCAAGAATTAAATTATTGTCAAAAAATTTTTTTAAATTCTTTTCAAGAAGTCAATTATTTTCAAAAATTTTAATAAAATTCTTCTCATGAATTCAATTGTTTTCAAAAATTATTATTTAAATTCTTCTCAGGAATTCAATTATTTTTAAAAAATTTAATAAAATTCTTCAAGAAGTTTTCAATTATTTTCAAAAATTGTTATAACATTTTTTAATATAATAAATTTCATTAAAATTTTAATTAAATTCTTTAAAAGTAATTAACTATTTTCAAAAGTTGTTAATACAATTCTGCGTAAAAATTAAATTTTAAGAAACATTCAATATTATTTATTTTTGTATTTAAATAATTGATTTTTCGTAGAATTAATTTATTATTTTTCGTACTTTTAACTAACAATTCTGTAGAATTAATTTTTTTGAAAAAGTTTAATTAAATAATAATAATTGATGTTATTGATTTAAAGTAGAATTTTAGTTAAAAATTCTAAAATGATAGAAATAATTTTGAAGAAATTACAGTAACAATATTCTTATAATAATAAAATAATGATTTTGTCAGTCGGTCATCTTTAATTATTATAAAACATAAAGAAATGGATCACTCTCGGAGTAATCCATTTCTTTATGTTTGAAAAGGTTTGAATTTGAAATTTTTGAACACCTTAATTTCAATAAACAAAATGATTAAATATTTATTTTAGATAAAACTATTGATGTTTTCGAATAATTTTACTTTTGAAGAAATTTGTAAATAAAAATAGAACATTTTTTGAATATCTAATAGTTTTTAGAGTGAATCAGAATATTCTTTAGGGTCAGGGAAAAATAAAAGTCAAAGTTGTGTTTGGAAATCAGGGAAAAATGAAGTTAAATTTTTGTGGCAACCATGCGTATAAATGAATTATATTTTTATCTTTATTTAACCAATTTTTATGGTCCCCTAAAAGTCCCCGATTTTTTAATTTTCAGTCCCCTATTTCCCCTAAAATACTTTTTAGGGGCACTGTGAAGCCTGAACCTATAAATCTGGAAAAGTCAGGGAATTTGAAATGAGCAAAAGCGTGGCAACCTTGTATGAAATTACATACTTAAGGTCATGTTTTTTGAATTCTAGAACGATCTGCGGGACGCCCAACTATATTGCTCCGGAAGTTCTCTACAAACAGGCTTACAGTTACGAGGCGGACGTTTGGGCTCTGGGTTGTATTCTGTACGCACTGCTCGTCGGCCAACCTCCGTTCGACACAGCGACACTGAAAGAGACGTACACGAGAATCTGCAACAACCGATATCGGGAAGTGGACGACACGATGGCCAGTCGCAATGGACAGGATCTGATTCGCTGGCTCTTGCACCCGAATCCCGAACTGAGGCCGTCCCTCGAGCGGGTCAAGGAGCACCCCTATCTCACCAAGGAGTACGTGCCGTCATTCTTGCCCGACACGTGCTGCTACCGGACGCCTCAACTCTCGATTATCGAGCCACTCACTTCGGCAGTCTCGCCCTCGTCGTCCGTCATTTCGACGAACAACAATATTCACGCGGAGGAAATAACGCAACACTCGCAGCTGAGGGCCCAGTCGCCGTCGCGAGTCGACGGCCGCAAGCATTCGGGCAAAGGACAGAAGGTCTCGAACTGGCTGGCGAGGAAGCTGTCGAAGCTGCCCAAGCTGCCGTGGTTCCGACAGCGCCTCAGCAGCGTTCTCTGTCCCGAGGCGAGGAAGAAGCAAACCCTGATGGAATCCGGCGGCGGTGGCGGCGGGCAGACGCCTGTTGTGCCGCAGAGTGTGCAGATGAGCAGGGCACTCGAAGATGGCCTCGCCGAGATAAAGTGTCGACAGGCGGCTAGGAATCCCCCCAAAGTGGATGACGTGACGCCCTTGTTTGTCATCAAGTGGATTGATTACTCCAACAAGTACGGCTTGGGTTTTCAGCTATCTGATAAATCCGTCGGGGTGCTCTTCAATGACAGCACGAAGATGAGCTACACTCCCGATAGAAGGTACCGCTACTCTCCATTACCCTCTTAATTCAGTCAATTAAAATGTCAGGGAATTTTATAAACCTTAACCTTGAAAAAACCTGGAAAAGTCAGGCAATTTTTATCGAAATCCTGGAAAATCGTTGTCTTAAGTTATTGTGCTTATTCTTGAAATCTAATTTTACTTCAATATTTCAAAATTAATTTCATTTTAGAAAGAGTTGTGTTTACAATTTTCATAATAGATCAACTTCAAAAGATTTTAATTTGAAATTTTGTAAAATTTCAATTTTAAATTAATTTAATTAGAAATTTTAAAAAACTTATATTTAAAAAAAATTTTAACAACTAAAATTCTTCTGAAATTAGTTATATTTTTAAATATTTATTGAATTAATTATTAAAAATAATGGATTTATAGAAGAATTTTAGTTAAAAACACTAAAACAAATTGAATTTTGAAGCAATTAAAAATAATTGCAGAAATTCAAATATTTTCTAAAGTAGTCAAATTCATCTCAGAAATTCAATTATTTTCAAAAGTTTTAATAAAATTCTTCTCTTGGCAAAATTTTAATTATTTTCAAAAACTTTTCTCAATTCAATGCTTTTTAATACCTATCTATTACTTTAATAAAAATCCCTAAAAGAATTCAATTAGTTAAAAAAAATTTTAATAAAATTCTACGCAAACATTTCATTGTTTTCATAAATAATAAAAATTTCATAAGTATTCAATTATTATCATAAATAATAATATTTTTTACAGGAATTCAATTATTTTCATAAATACATAATAAAACTCATCGCAGACTTTCAATTATTTTTAATACAAATTTAATAAAATTCCTCGAAAAATGTAATTATTTTAAAAATTTTTATTAAAATTTATCACAGAAATTCAATTATTTTAAAAACCTTTGATACAATTTATTTATTAGAATTTAAGATTATTTATTAGAATAAAGAAATTCTAATTCGGGGCGGTAGCAATACTACACATTTGAACTCTACATTGATGAACTGTACACGTTCGATTGTATACTGTTGAATTGTATACAAATATGCATTATAAATATTTATCATTAAACTGCATACATTTCAACTCTACACAAATAATTTTAAATAATTTTATTTTTTTAATATGCTTGTTTGAATACAGTTAGATTCTACACTATTAAATTTGGTAAAATTGTATCAAAAATTGTACACAGTTTGATTCTATACAGTAGAATTATATACTGCAAAATATTATTTATTTGTTGAACTGCATACAGGTAAATTGTATACAAGATAAAATACAATTAATTGTAAACAGTTGTATTGTACATAGAACTTCTTTGCATTATATTATTCTTAAACTGTATACATTTCAACTCTACACAAATAATTTTTAATAATTTTATTTTTTAATATGTTTGTTTGAATACAGTTAAATTCTACACTGCTCAATTTGATAAAATAATAACAAAAATTCTACACAGTTAGATTCTATACCATAGTTCTATACAGTAGAATAATATATAAAATTGTACTGTTTAGAGTCTAACGGTGTAAAATTTTTTGTTATTATTTTATCAAATTAAAGAGTGTAGAATCTAACTGTATGCAAACAAACATATTAAAAAATAAAATTATTAAAAATTATTTGTGTAGAGTTGAAATGTATACAGTTTAATAATAATATTATACAAAAAATTTCTGTGTACACTACAACTGTATACAATTGATCGTATTTACTCTTGTATAAAATTTACCTGTATTTTAAGAAACATTTAATTATTTAATAAACTATTTACTCTTGTAGTTAAATATTTGAATTCTCGTATTCTAATAAATATTGATTTAAAAATGAATTTCAGATAAAAAATTCTAGATTATAATTTAATATTGAAAGCATTATAGCGTGGATTTTTAGAAATAATTGAATTTTCATAAAGGTTTCAAATTAAAACCTTTGAAATTTGAACTTTTTATACTTTTAATTAAGAATTCTGTAGAATTAATTTTTCTCGAAAAGTTTAGTGGAATTTTTTTTTAATTGTTTGAAGTTTTTAATTTCTAATATATTTAATTGAAGAATGTCAGAATGATCAAAATTTCGTAAAATTAAATTGTGAACTGATTTGAAAATTCTCAATGAACTTTTTCAAAAATTAAAAAAATATTGAAGTAGAATTTTAGTTGAAAATTCTAGAAATGAATAATAATCGAAATGATAAAAATAATTTTTGAAGAGGTTACAGTAACAAAGTAGCAAGTTTTAATTATTATAAAACACGAAAAAAACGATCATTGTTCATGTAAAATATTGTAAAAATCTTTGTTTAATAATTGAATTCTTAAGGGAAATTTTATTAAAATTTTTGAAAATATCTGAATTCTTGTGACGAATTTATGAAAATAATTGAATTTTGCAATGAATTTTATTAAAATTTCTAAAATAAATAATTGAATTTTGTCAAAGAACTTTGCAATTAATTTATAAAGATAATTGAAATGTTGACGACAATTTTTTTTTATTCTTTGAAAATAATTGAATTTTTGTCGAAGAATTTTTTTTATTTTGAAAATAATTGAATTCTTGTGATGAGTATTGTTATTTATTAAAATAATTGAATTTTATTTGCAAGAATATTTTTATTATAAAACATGAAGAAATCGATCAATCCGAGTGATCCATTTCTTCATGTTTTATAATAATATTCTTTTAAGGTATTGAATTTAAAAATTTTTTTCTTATGAAAATAAAAATAATGATTGAAAAAGAAGTTAAGTTATTGATATTTTCGACTAATTTTACAACTAAAGAAATTCTTAAATAAATGAGATAGAACATTATTTTTTGAGTATTTAATAATTTTTAGAGTGAATCAGAATATTCTTTAGAGTCAGGGAAAAAGTTATTTAATTTGGTAAAACATAAATGTGGGACGCATGATTATTCCCCAAATGTCATTTTTCCGAAGTGTCATTTTACCGAACTGCACTTTTGCAAATAGTCATTTTTGCGAAAAGCCAACTTTGCGAAATGTCACTTTTGCGAATTGTCATTTTTGCGAAAAGCTATTTTTGCGAATTTTCATTTTTGCGAATGGCCATTTTTACGAATTGTCAATTTTTCGAAAAGTCATTTTTGCGAATCGACATTTTTACGAATTGTCATTTTTGCGAAAATTCCTATAGTAAACTTGTATGCACATATAGATTCACTATAGGAATTTTCGCAAAAATGACAATTCGCAAAAATGACTTTTCGGAAATTTGACAATTCGTAAAAATGGCGATTCGCAAAAATGACTTTTCGGAAAATTGACAATTCGTAAAAATGACAATTCGTAAAAATGACAATTCGTAAAAACGGCAATTCGTAAAAATGTCGATTCGCAAAAGTGACAATTCGTAAAAACGGCAATTCGTAAAAATGTCGATTCGCAAAAGTGACAATTCGCAAAAATGACTTTTCGGAAAATTGACAATTCGTAAAAATGTCGATTCGCAAAAGTGACAATTCGTAAAAACGGCAATTCGTAAAAATGTCGATTCGCAAAAGTGACAATTCGCAAAAATGACAATTCGCAAAAATGACTTTTCGCAAAAATGACTAATTGTAAAAATGACATTTCACAAAAATGGCTTTTCGCAAACATGACTTTTCGTAAAAATGACAATTCGCAAAAATGACATTTCACAAAAATGGCTTTTCGCAAAAATGTCTTTTCGTAAAAATGACATTTGGGGAATAATCATGCGCCCCCATAAATGTAGTTTTAAAAACCTGGAAAACCTGGAAAAGTCAGGGTATTTGAAAAGAGCAAAAGCGAGGCAACCCTGTTGACATTCAGCAAAAAATTGAATAATTAATATTATTATTAATATGTTATTATTCAATTATTGAAGAAAACAAAAATAAGGTAATTATAAAAAATGAATTATTTCAGGCGAGTCGAGTACATGAGAACCGATGACGAAGTGACGAGATATCACAGGGAGAAGGATGTTCCTTCAGCATTAGAAACGAAACTAGATATTCTGAGATATTTCACGGAATATATGGAGCATCACCTAACAGAAGGTTGGTATAAAACGCATTGTAAATTTTGTGAGTCTCATAAGTTGCTATTTTCTACTATTTTTTACTATGATTCTCTGTTCAGGTGGCGAAATCAAAGAAATTAAAAACACGCGCCAATCGCGCTCCGCTTGTGTGCCAAGAATGCGGCGCTGGCTGCGAACGGACAAAGCGATTGTGATGGAACTGACCGGACCACTTCTTCAGGTGAATTTCTTCATGGACCACACGAAAATGGTCGTCTCGCAGGAGCCATTGTGTAAAGAGTACCTCATCACTTACATCGACGCCAGTAGACGTGTCTCTTCCTACTGGCTAGGTGATCTCCGGAGTTACGGTTGCACCTCCGAAATCCACGAATGCTTGCACTACCTTTGCAAAGTGTCCCGCGAGTTTGCTGATCTCGATAACAATGCAGTTGGCTGATTGCCAACGTTTAGAACCTTTCTCGAGGTTAAAGAAACCAAAATCTAGAATTTTGCTTGAACTTTTATTTTTCAAGTTATTCTATATCTTCTGTGATCTGAATTTGTAGTGATTTCTTAGGAGGAAGGTAGAAAGAAAGGAGATGGAGAAGGAGAATTTCTCGAAAACTGGATAAAAATAACATTGTTATTAAAACTTTAAATGTTACATTTAGAATTTCTATATTAGAAGTTGTTATAGAATTTAGTGGAAAAAAAGAGTTTTTTGTGCGTAAAATTAGAGATTATTTATTTATTTTTATCCAGATTTCTGTTATTATTTGTACTTCGAAAATAAACTCCATTTTCAAAAATGAAAAAGGAGAAAATTGCACTAAAAAAAAAAACTTTCTGTGATTGATTTCAAAGTTTAAACTCGTTTCCGGGACTCTGTTGAGTTTTTCAAAACTTTATTATAAAAGAAGCTTATGTCTCGTAGCTTTAAAAGAACGAATATAATTATAAACTCGATTCGCGACTGGTTAATGGCCGTTTTGTACTCTCGAGATGATCGCACAGTAGTTGTTGAAACTCTTAGAGAATTTAGCTTAAACGCAGAGTTCAGTCAAGGCTACCAATTAAGTTGAGGGTCTTTGGTAATCCTAGTCAGATGCGTTTTTTCAAGTTTATTGAAAGTTCATGAAAGAGAACAGATGGTCACTGCCAATTTGTTGCCACTGTAGTTACATGTCGCTGTTAATTCCAGGACGATTCGTTTAATAATATAAAAAAACAAAAAAAAATAATAGAGTCGTAAAATTGTTGTTATTACTATTGCTATTATTAATAATATTATTATTAGTTATTAAATAACTATACTTTACTTTATTAATTTAATTAAATGCATTGTTAAGTGGTTTAGTCAATTGTCAATTACTCGTCAATTGAATTTCATTGATCGTACATTGAAAGTCAATTTAATTTAATTGATCTTTAATTACTTAACGATTTAATTTCATTAGTTGTTAATTAATAAATGAATAATCATCTATTATAAAACATCATCGATATTATATATTGAACAGGAACAGAAGGAAAGTCACTGTAATTAGAATCAAATCTTCATTGAGTCTCTCGTTTTCATTACTGTTACATTTTTATATCGCGCAATATCTCCTCCAAAAGTGTTAGCTTCAAAAAAATTGCAATCAAACAGAAAAGTTAAACCGAGATAAGAAAAAGTTAATGCATTTTTTAAAACAGAAATCAATTATTTTCATAAAATGAAATTAAAAAGAAAAACAAAATATAATTGTTAATTTAAAATGAAAAGACAGTTATTTGAAAAGGCTATAAAAAAATGTAAATTATCTTTTCTTTGTACTCCTGAAATTGTAATTTTTGGAAACGGAAGCTTACACGATGGTGAAATGGTTAGAATGTTAGATATATTATAAATGTATAATATAGTGATAAAGAGTTTCATTTGCTCTGTGATCGTGAAACGGTGTGTTAGATCTAAAAATTTGAGATATAAATTATATGCCTTAGAAATAATTAACGTTCCGATTCATTTGCTTTTACGAATGATATTCCTTCGCTTCATATTTTCCTTGTTAAGAAACGAAAATTTGACGTTATTATAAAAGAGTTACGTTTATTTTCTACGATCGTTTTTTTAACGAAATATATGTACAAGGCTCATGTTTCACGTTGAGAAACGAATAATGAAGATAATTAAAGATCTCAAATGCGAGTTTTCGCAAATCAATTATTGCCTCCATATTATTATTCACATTCCTTTTGAATTTATTGAAAATTAATTTTTTAATTTTATCGTATAAAAATTTCAAAATTCCTAATTTTTTTAACTTTGAAAATTACTAAAACATTTTTTTAACAACACTGAATCAAATGAACATTTTCGACTTTTTTTTTATAATTTATGGACTAAAGCGATTTCTTTTGGAACTTAAAGCCGATCCAAAGCTTATGAGGAATAAAAGATAAATAATTTAATTTTATTATTAATTTATTCAATTTATAGTTGAAACTATAGTGAAATAAATAATTTGCTTCAAGTCCGTAAAAGTCAGTTTTTATGAAAAAAGGTCCGTAAAATCCGTAATTTGATAGAAAAAAGACGAAAAGTTCGTAAATTGTACTATATAATTTTGGAAATCTTGAAAAAGTTGAAAATGATTGCAGAAATTTAATTATTTTCAAAAGTAATAAAATTCGTCGCAGAAATTCAATTAAGTTCAACAAACTTTTTAAATTCTCGTCAAAATTTCAATTATCTTTAGAAATATTAAAATTCTTCTCCAAAATTCAATTAAATTTTAAAAAATTTTAATACAATTCGTGACAAAATTTCAATTATTTTCAAAAAATTTACTCAATTAAATGATTTTCAATATTTATTATTAAATAAAATTTTTCAAAAGAATTCAATTATTTAAAAAAAATTCTACGCAAACCTTTAATTATTTTCATAAAATAATAAAAATTTAACAGGAATTCAATTATTTACAAATTTTTTCGCAATTATTCAATTATTTTCATAAATAATAAAATTTTCTACAGGGAGAATAAAAAATAATAAAATTCTTTTTAAGAATTCAATAATAAAACTCATCGCAAAATTCCAATTAACTTTATTACAATTTTAATCGAAATTCTCGAAAAATGTAATTAATCTTAAAAATTTTATTAAAATTCGTCAAATGAATTCAATTTTAAGAAACATGCAATTATTCAATAAATGCTTTTTTTGTATTTAACATATTGAATGCTAGTCGAATTTTCTAATAAAAATTGATTTAAAAATGAATTTGAGTAAAAATTTTAGATTATAATTGAATATTAAAAGCAATATAGCGTGAATTTTAAGAAATAATTGAATTTTGAAATTAATATTTTTTTTTTATAAGTTTAAGGGCATTTGAACCTTGATGACGTTACAGTTTGTGCAAAGCATGTGTGACGTCATCAAGGTTCAAATGCCCTTAATTGAATTTTTTTTACATTATTTTAATTTTTTATTTTCTAATATATTTATTTAATTGAAGAATTTGCGAATAATTCGTATGAAATTACTAATAAAATCCGTGTGGCGATTTGAAACAGAATTATTCGCACGAATATTCATGCTAATAACACCCGAATTTTTAATCTGGATTTTCAAAAAATCCGCACGAAATGTCTATTGAAAATTTTGTAAAAAATTTTCGGCCACACTTTTGGACGAATTTTGTACGATATTCGTGCGAATTACTAACGAATTTTTTATAGAAATTAAAAAAAATATTCTGTTCGTAAAATTTTGTAATAAATAATTAGATAATTAGTTTACTGTTCTTAATTAATTAGTAAAATCAAAACATTTCACAGCTGAAAAATGTTGCGACTTTCAAGACGATTCGATGCGCGTACATACATTTTTGATTACTGCGCATCGAAATCGAGACGATTTACTTTATTGTGGACTCAACCTAAAAAACAGGACAGAACAGACAGTGAAAGTTTATTGTAGAAACAGCATAAAGGCCTAAGCAGAACACGGGAACGGTAAGTTCTCAAATGCGCCACTGGACAAATGCGCCACCGGTCAAATGCGCCACGGATCAATTGCGCCACTGGACAAAAGCCCCACATTTGCCATATTTGAGGAAAGTGATAAGTTTGTTCGAGAGATGGAGCTAGGTGTTCTTGGTGTAGAAATTTGTCAAGTGAATTCAATTTATTGTCAATTTCGCTCCGTATAGTGAAAATAAATTTAAGTGAATGGTTAATTAAATGGAAATTAATTAATTGTTCTATATCAATTGCGAATAACATTTTTTAAGTAAGTTGCTGTTTTTATTTTATATTAATAATAATAATAATAATAAATATTATTATTATTGTTTAAAGAAATGTGGAAATTTTTTTTAATAACTAATTTATGAAACATTTTATTTTTAAATCGTTTTTATTTATATTTTTTCTTTGGAATAATTTAATAATTGCTTTAATTTAATAATACCTAAGATTTCTTGATATTTTCAAAAGATCTTTATTTTTATAGAATTATGTATTTTAATTAAATAACGAGATTAAGAATTCTTTGTTGTATTATAGTTAATTTTACTTACCTAATTATAAATTAATTGCCTTTATTTTAAATTTAGAAAGTACTTAAGTTTTCTTGAAGACTAATAAAATATAATTTATTAACAATTGTAATATTGAATATAATTTTCTAATATGAATTTCATATTTAATTAATTTTTTAAATTATATAACGTAAAAGTTTTTCTGAATTCACGTTCATACTTTTAGAAATGATAAGACTTCTTACAAAGTTTCAAATATTACGGAAGTTTAGAAAAATTATTCCAATTTTTATTTTATAATTAATGGTATTTTTTTTATATTAAAAACAGTAATATTTTAAAAAGTAATATTTTTTTGGAAACGTTTAATATATAAAAAAAGCAGGCTTCGCACTGACGTACTAAAATCTATACTATTTACTCCTTTTTTTGTCAAATTTCTGACACTAAAAGCTACTTTTTTACAAATTACATTAGTTTCAATCCTCTAATGATTGAAAAAAAAATTATTCTCAATCAATTTTTTGTGATTCGAAAATGAAAATTTATAATTGTTATTGAAAATTCTTTTAAACAATTGTAAATTGAAGAATGTTCGCAATATTTTTAAAAGATTAAATTACCATGTATTGATGCGCAAAACTCCAAGGATTAATTTAAAAAAAGACAAATCAGTAATCACCAATATTATAGAAATTGTGTAGAATTTTCTGCCAAAATGCAGCCGAAAATCGACTTTTAATCTTAAAAATCCGCTTGAAAGCGTGAAGTTTCTAACAAAACAAGAGAAGATCTTATTTATATATTCATTTGCAATTTTATTTTTCCTGGAACTCGAGTCGATTTTCGTCTGCATTTTGGCATTAAAATAATTTTTTTGCCAATAAATTTATATTCTTAATTTTATTACAATTTTTATACTCACTTTTTAATTTTTCTATAGTTATTAATATAATCTTTCTACAATTTTTCTATAATTTTTCTATAGAATAATGCAATTTGTAATTGTTTTTGTTTATTATTTTTGAGAGATAGGATAGATATTAATTTCGCAGTAATAGAGGGGTAAATAATATTTAATACCATTGTCAAATAACACAAGCACACAAAAAAATAAAAAAGTCAAAACCCAGAGGTTACACCCCCCCATCCCCATGTTTTTGGGGTCGCTGAAACCGAATATGACCATGAAAAATTTTTTTCGTCGGCCATTTTCCCGCTACCACCCCCTTACACCTGCTCCCTGGGGTTGGAATTTCAATTTTAAAAAAGTGGACAAGGGTGTCTATTCCTATTTTTTTTGGGTCGCTAAAACCAAAAAAGACTACCAAAATCAAATCCTTTACACCCTCAACCCCCTACTACCCCCTGCAATAATTTTTTTTAAATAAAACGGACCGATTTTTGGGAAATTGAAAATTAAATATTAATTATCAAAAATTATTGAAGGGGGTTGTAGGGGGTTGAGGGTGGAAAAGATTTGATTTTTGTAGTCTTTTTTGGTTTCAGCGAATAAAAAACGTAGGTTTAGACACCGCAATCGACTTTTCGCGAAAATTCGAATTTCGACCCCTCACCCTGGGGTTGTTAAGGGGGTTGTAAGGGGTTAAGGGAGGGAAGAATTTGTTTTTGGTAGTCTTTTTTGGTGTTAGCGACCCAAAAAACATAGGAATAGACACCCTTGTCCACTTTTTTAAAATTGAAATTCCAACCCCAGGGAGCAGGTGTAAGGGGGTGGTAGCGGGAAAATGGCCGACGAAAAAAATTTTCATGGTCATATTCGGTTTCAGCGACCCCAAAAACATGGAGATGGGGGGGTGTAACCTCTGGGTTTTGACTTTTTTATTTTTTTGTGTGCTTGTGTTATTTGACAATGGTATTGAATATTATTTACCCCTCTATTACTGCGAAATTAATATCTATCCTATCTCTCAAAAATAATAAACAAAAACAATTACAAATTGCATTATTCTATAGAAAAATTATAGAAAAATTGTAGAAAGATTATATTAATAACTATAGAAAAATTAAAAAGTGAGTATAAAAATTGTAATAAAATTAAGAATATAAATTTATTGGCAAAAAAATTATTTTAATGCCAAAATGCAGACGAAAATCGACTCGAGTTCCAGGAAAAATAAAATTGCAAATGAATATATAAATAAGATCTTCTCTTGTTTTGTTAGAAACTTCACGCTTTCAAGCGGATTTTTAAGATTAAAAGTCGATTTTCGGCTGCATTTTGGCAGAAAATTCTACACAATTTCTATAATATTGGTGATTACTGATTTGTCTTTTTTTTTAAATTAATCCTTGGAGTTTTGCGCATCAATACATGGTAATTTAATCTTTTAAAAATATTGCGAACATTCTTCAATTTACAATTGTTGAAAAGAATTTTCAATAACAATTATAAATTTTCATTTTCGAATCACAAAAAATTGATTGAGAATAATTTTTTTTTCAATCATTAGAGGATTGAAACTAATGTAATTTGTAAAAAAGTAGCTTTTAGTGTCAGAAATTTGACAAAAAAAGGAGTAAATAGTATAGATTTTAGTACGTCAGTGCGAAGCCTGCTTTTTTTATATATTAAACGTTTCCAAAAAAATATTACTTTTTAAAATATTACTGTTTTTAATATAAATAAAATACCATTAATTATAAAATAAAAATTGGAATAATTTTTCTAAACTTCCGTAATATTTGAAACTTTGTAAGAAGTCTTATCATTTCTAAAAGTATGAACGTGAATTCAGAAAAACTTTTACGTTATATAATTTAAAAAATTAATTAAATATGAAATTCATATTAGAAAATTATATTCAATATTACAATTGTTAATAAATTATATTTTATTAGTCTTCAAGAAAACTTAAGTACTTTCTAAATTTAAAATAAAGGCAATTAATTTATAATTAGGTAAGTAAAATTAACTATAATACAACAAAGAATTCTTAATCTCGTTATTTAATTAAAATACATAATTCTATAAAAATAAAGATCTTTTGAAAATATCAAGAAATCTTAGGTATTATTAAATTAAAGCAATTATTAAATTATTCCAAAGAAAAAATATAAATAAAAACGATTTAAAAATAAAATGTTTCATAAATTAGTTATTAAAAAAAATTTCCACATTTCTTTAAACAATAATAATAATATTTATTATTATTATTATTATTAATATAAAATAAAAACAGCAACTTACTTAAAAAATGTTATTCGCAATTGATATAGAACAATTAATTAATTTCCATTTAATTAACCATTCACTTAAATTTATTTTCACTATACGGAGCGAAATTGACAATAAATTGAATTCACTTGACAAATTTCTACACCAAGAACACCTAGCTCCATCTCTCGAACAAACTTTTCACTTTCCTCAAATATGACAAATGTGGGGCTTTTGTCCAGTGGCGCAATTGATCCGTGGCGCATTTGACCGGTGGCGCATTTGTCCAGTGGCGCATTTGAGAACTTACCAACAGGATGCAAAAGATAATAACAGAAGCTGTCTGTATCCTTTTCTTTCTCACGAGGTTTTCTACAGTAAAAAGGCCAACGCAGAATGAATACGGAACGGGAATAGGGCATGAGAAAGAAAAGGACACAGACAGCTTCTGTCATTTTCTTTTGCATGCCCTGTTCCCGTAACCGTATTTATTCTGCGTTGGCCTTGGGAGCATTTACACCTTACACCTTCGGTAAAAATTTCCAGAACGGGAAATTTACATTGGAGTAAGAGAGACAGGTATACACAGTCTGTCTCTCTTACTCCAATGTAAATTTTCCGTTCTGGAAATTTTTACTGAAGGTGTAAACGCTCCCTTAAGCTTAAGGTACTGCCACAGCTCGCTGCTGACTGCAGTACCTTTAACCACGGACAAAATAAAAGTCGATTACATATATCGAAAAAGAAATAGCGCCAAGTGACGAACTTCACTTAGTACGATTAGAAGTGTTTTTCGTACTTTATATTTAAAAAATATTTAAATATATAAATAAAAGTTTGTTAATTAATGTGTAGACAAAACTGATGTTAATTTTAATTAATTTTCACTCTTTAAATTATCATTTTTTACTTCTATAAATATTACGTAGATAGAAAAATGACAGAAATGGTGTGATAAGAGAAATGAGAGGGCTTCATTGAGCACAGACGAACAATAAAATTATCTATTAAAATTTTTCATTCAAATATTTTGTAAGGAGATACAAAATTTTACAAAACATAATCTCAGTGCTCAAGTTTTCAAAGGATAATGAAACGTGTAATTTTGTTTGTTAATGGCACCGACGTGAACGGCAAGGTAATCTTTTTTTGAGGTTATGTCAGTTGTCAAAATCACGCTTAAAAGAATTTCAAACTGAAATTCACAAAAACAAATAACTGCTAGCTATCAAAAAGTTTGTAATACTACATCTAAGGAAGCAAAAGAGAAAAAATTTTGGTTAATGTGACTCAAAATATGTCAAAAATTGAATGTTTTAAATTTATCAAGTTATACCTAGTTCATTTATAACATTTTTTATATAATATTAGTACTTTAGATGTCGATTTATTACAAACTAATACTATTCTTTGATACTCTTTTAGTTCATTCACATCTATAAATATTTTTCTTTTTAATCCCAAATTTTAGACTTCATAATACTTATATGTATTGAAAATACTTATGTAAGCTAGTAATTAGTTTGCGAACTATCCAAAATTTTTTAAAGTGTAAAAATAATTTAAATTTAGTTTATTTATTTACGTATTTCAGAAAAGTTGTTTATACAGAAATTAAAAATTGGAATATATAATTGCTTTTTAAATATTTACATTAAAAAACTTATTGCTTATGAATTTGATAAAAATAATGCTTTAAATTTTTTTTAAATTAATGACAATTAATAACTTAGATAAAGAATATTCTTCTTATTATTGAACTATCAAATGATATGCGTGAAAAGCAGTATTCCATTTATTATTTTGTAAATTAAAAAATTTTATATTTTCAAGAATAAATAACATCAATTTTTGAATAATTACAGATTTAAAATTTAAAGAATTCACTTATTAAGTACATAATATTAAATATTCTTGTTTATTATTATTCAAAAAATATTTATAAAATTTATCGCAAGAATTTCATTATTCTCATAATTAATATGAGAGCAATTCAATTATTTTCAATACAATTTTAATAAAATTTCTCTAAAGAATACAATTATTTTTTAAAATATTAATTAAATTCGATAATTTTCAAGAATTTTAATATAAATTCAATTATTTTTAACAATTTTGATGAAAATTTTTTTAAAAAATTATTATTTTCAAAATATTTAGTAAAATTCCTTCAAAAAATTCAATTATTTTCAAAAATTAAGAGAAAATTCTTCGAAACAATTCAATTTTTTATGAATTGTAAAATCCTCCACAAGAATTTAATTATTTTCTTAAATAAGAAAATTCTTCAAAGGAATTCAATATTATTTTCATCAATTCTGATAAAAAAATTCTTCGAAACAATTCAATTACTTTTATTAATTGTAAAATTCTTGGCAAGAATTCAATTATTTTTGTAAATAAGAAAATTCTTCTAAGAAATTAAATTATTTTCAATACAATTTTAATTAAATTTCTAAGAAAAAATTCTATTATATGCAAGATAATTTTAATAAAAACTCTCAAACAGGTTCAATTATTTTTAACAATTGTAAATAAATTTTTCTAAACAATTCAATTGTTTTCAAAAGTTTTTAATAAAATTCTTTGTAAATTTCAATTATTTTAAAAATTTTCAATTACGAAATTCAATGAAATTCTCTAAAAAAATGTAATTATTTACAAAAAATCTAATAACATTGTTTAAAAGAATTAAATTTTCTATGAATAATTTTAATATAATTTAATATAGGAAAATCGTTAATTACAATTAATAATAAACACGATTATTTTAAAAACTTAAAAGAAATTCTTCTTAAAATTCAATTATTTTCAAAATTTTCAGTAAAAATTATTTTAAAAAAACTCCACTATTTTCAAGAATATTGAAATAAATTCTTAAAAACAATTCAATAATTTTAAAGAATTTTAATAAAAATCTTTTTAAAAATTAAATTATTTTCAATAATTATTTCAGAAATAATTGAACTCTTGAATAGATTTTTATTAAAACTTTTTTAAATAATTGAATTTTTGCAAAATTTTAAAAATAAGTGAATTTTTTAGAAGAATTTTATTAAAATTGTATATTTAAAATAATTTAATTTCTGGGAAAAATGTATTATTTATTGATATAATTGAATTCTTAGAAAGAATTATAAAAAAATGTTTTAAAATAATTGAATTCCATTGAAAATTTTATTATTTATGAAAATAATTAAATTCTTGAATTGAATTTTATTAAAAGTTTTTGTCAAATAAAATTGTTTATATTAAACAAAAATTAAGGTCCTGAAAACACTCTACGTTATTAAAAGTTTTTTAAATAATTGAACTCTAGTAAAAAATTCAATTATTTTTTAAAATAATTGAATTTTCTCGGAGAAATTTTTACAAGATATTTAAAATTAATTGATATTTTCGAAGAAATCAATTAAAATTGTATTGAAAATAAGTAAAATCCTGATAAGAATTTTATTATTTATATAAAAATAATTGCAATTTAGACGAAAATTTTTATTATTTAAATAAATTGACTTTTTGCAAAGTATTTCATTACAATTATTGAAAATAATATTGAATTCTTCATAAAATTCAATTACTTTCAAAATTTTCAGTAAAATTTATTTAAAAATCTCCACTATTTTCAATTGAGGAGTCGGGAAGAAGAACTCGCCGAGCGCTCCAACGCATGCGTTAATATCATGCTAATTGAGCCTCCCAATTCAAGAACTCGCCCGACGCTCGGATGAACACTCTAACGCCAGTCAAACGTTAAGAAAAGTCACAAAAATTAAAATTTGAAATTTTGATTTTTTAGAAGCACTACCTTGTAGGAAATTGAATAGCGCATCTTTTTTTCCTTTGAATTTTTTTCGTAGGATGAATATTGTCGGAAATAATGACGAAAAATGGTAAAATTTTGTTTTTCAAATTTCATTGCTTTTTAAAACATAAATCATCGTATCTTCGACAATTATTGTCGAATTGACTTCAAATTTGGTATGCAAGTCTATTTGGGTTCTGGGAAGACGATAAAATGATCAGAATGTAAAAATTTCCTAATTGTTCACTAATTTGTTAATGTAAATAAAGGCTTGTCAATTTTAGGTTAACTTACCTTCGTCGACAAAAAGTCTGCGGTGAACTTTCGAATTGAAAAAACTTCTAGTGAGACATTTGTTTATTAGTATATAAGGAAGTTTTTTGGAAAATATTAGATTGATTTAGTAAAAAATGTGGAAAATATTAAGGTTTAAAGACAGCGCGGAGAGCGCGACATCGAGTCGCGGCGTGCAAATATCACTAAACACCAACTTTATAGGACGTCAGTTGTTGAATTTGTTCTTATTACCTCGGTTATTACTCAGTACTTTAAAAAAAGCATTAAATAAATTATTGGGATATAATTATAACGCTATGTTTAACATTATAACAAATATAAAAATTCTATAAATAATAAAGAACTAGCAACAATTCGCGCGGCTAACTTTTTACTACATTTTATAAATAAAATTAGCAATTTTAAAAATAATAGAATTTGAAAACTTTCTAATTTAAATTTTTGTTGAAAACACTAAAAAAATTCAATTTTGGAGAAATTACAAATAATTGAAGAAATTCAACCATTTTCAAATAAAAAAAAAAATAATAAAATTCTTCTTATAAAATTCAACTATGTACAAAATTTGAAAAAAAAATTTTGTAAAAATCCCGATTATCTTTATAAATAACAAAATTCTTTTCCAAACTTTAATTATTTTCCTAAATGTCAAAGAAATTTAATGCCTTTTTTAAAGTACTGAGTAATAACCGAGGTAATAAGAACAAATTCAACAACTGACGTCCTATAAAGTTGGTGTTTAGTGATATTTGCACGCCGCGACTCGATGTCGCGCTCTCCGCGCTGTCTTTAAACCTTAATATTTTCCACATTTTTTACTAAATCAATCTAATATTTTCCAAAAAACTTCCTTATATACTAATAAATAAATGTCTCACTGGAAGTTTTTTCAATTCGAAAGTTCACCGCAGACTTTTTGTCGACGAAGGTAAGTTAACCTAAAATTGACAAGCCTTTATTTACATTAACAAATTAGTGAACAATTAGGAAATTTTTACATTCTGATCATTTTATCGTCTTCCCAGAACCCAAATAGACTTGCATACCAAATTTGAAGTCAATTCGACAATAATTGTCGAAGATACGATGATTTATGTTTTAAAAAGCAATGAAATTTGAAAAACAAAATTTTACCATTTTTCGTCATTATTTCCGACAATATTCATCCTACGAAAAAAATTCAAAGGAAAAAAAGATGCGCTATTCAATTTCCTACAAGGTAGTGCTTCTAAAAAATCAAAATTTCAAATTTTAATTTTTGTGACTTTTCTTAACGTTTGACTGGCGTTAGAGTGTTCATCCGAGCGTCGGGCGAGTTCTTGAATTGGGAGGCTCAATTCTACATTACTGAGTCACCCCGACTTTCCGGAACGACTAGCATGAGATGGACAAAGACAGCGATAGTCTCTGTTTTTGTCTATCTCATGCAATTCGTTCCGGAAAGTAGGCCGCGACTCAGTAAGTGTAGAATCAGCATCAGCCGGGTAGCAGTGACAGGCCCAGAGGCGCTCACTGCCACCCGACTGATATTAGAGAATACGTTCCCGCGCTCGGCGAGTTCTTCTTCCCGGCTCCTCAATTATTGAAAAAAATGTTGATAAAATTCTTGAAATGAATTCAATTATATTCAAATTTTTGTTATAAATACTTCACAAGAATGCAATGATTTTCAGTACTTAAATTTAAAAATATTTAAACATCCCGTGTGGAAAAGTGGTGTTTGCCCACGCCGGGGGCCCGCATGGATCGCCCACATCCATGAGGGGCCCTCGACTTACCCTCGACTTTATTTTTCAAAATTAAGTTAATATATTAATTATTTATTAATAACAAGCAAGTTCAATTATTAATAAATAACATTGTTATTTAACGATTTTTACTTTTTTAATTAAATCGTGACAAAAAAAAATCTGACGCACTTGGGAATAGAACCTACGACCTACGGACTATCAGACAAACGCTTTACCACTGTGCTAAGGGACTTACTTGAAAATTATTGCCTTATTGTAGGTGACTTGCTGACTTGCTTTTGATGATTCAATAAAACATTGTTGACACTAATACACCATACCAAAAAACATGTTTTTCATTGTTTAAAATCATTGTAATCATTAATTTTTGTTATGTAAAAAAATATTTTTTGTTTGGACTTAGAAATTTTTGCAAGTCAATGATGTGGGCAATCCATGCGGGCCCTCGGCGTGGCCCTCATGGATTTGCCCACATGGATCAGTTCTCGTCGGCCCCCGCCGGGGGCTCTCACGTCGTGTGGGCTTGATGGGGGCTTTTCCCACACTGGTATTTAAAAAGAAAAATTATTTAAAAAGTTAGGAAACAAAAAAGCAACGATTTTTTTTATAGATTTTATGATAATTAACAATGATTCACATTTTAGGTTTTTTTGGTTACTCACTCAATTGATGAACTCTTGACTGCTGCTAGTATTAAATTCAAAATGGTAGCGAAAAGAATATTTACGACTCAGGGGGGAGAAATCGATGACATTAAATTAATCAGAGATGATGATATTTTATATGTATCAAATGGAGAAGATTTTTTTCCAAGTGCACAAAATAATTATGCTAAATGCTCCGATTGGATATCATTGAATGTCGGTGGTCGATGTTTTGCAACAACAAAAAGTACGCTTACCAACAAAGAACCAATGAGTATGCTAGCAAGGTAATTAATACTTTTGTTTGTAATATTGTGCCTTCTTGTTATTATTATTATTATTTTTATAATAAAGGCATTCTATAGAAAAACGAATCAATTGCCAATGTAAGGCGCTTTTAAAATAATGATTTATCCTATTTAATGAAACAAAACAGAAGTTCATTAGAAACATCAAAACTTTTCATTCGAAGTTTTGAAAAAAAAATTTCTTAACTTTACGATGGTAAAAGGAATTTCTAATTCTAAGCGAAAGTATATTTTATCCCCTTTATATTCCCGCTTGGTTCATTTAAATCGGTTCATTCATTATTGTTCAAATAAAATCTTAAAAGTATTCTCTATTTAATTATTAAAAAAAAGATGAAGAACACATTTTTTTAACCTATAAATTAAAAAATTAATTTATTTAAACAAATTATATTTTTTAATTAAAATTTTCATCAATTATCTTAAATATAATTCCTCAGTAAGCTCTCCTCCAATTTTTATTAAAATAGGTTCATCCGATCGCGAGGATATTACGCTACAAATAACTTTGACCTTTAATAACTTTTGCAAATATTCGAATTTCGGAAAACTATTTACAGGTTTTTATTATACCATCATTCTAAAAAATAGGGGTCCACTTCAGGAATTCTCACCCTTACTTTAACCTAAAGAGAAATATTAGTTTGAAAAGTCAGGGTTCCCACAGGTCAGGGAAATCAGGGAATTCAAGGAAAAGTCAGGGAAAAGTAAAATTGGTCAGGGAAAAGTCAGGGATTTTTATTTAAGTAACTGGAAAAAATTGAATTTCGTAGAAGTTACAAATGATTGCAGAAATTATATTATTTTCAAAAGTAATAACATTCTTCGCAAAAAATTCAATTATGTTCAAAAACTAAAAAAAATTCTCGTCAAAATTCAATTATCTTTAAAAATAGATTGTGAAAATATTTGAATTTCCACGAAGAATTTCATTATATTCGTGAAATGTAAATAAATTCTTACAAAAAATGTAAGAGAATAATTCCATTTTTCTAAATCCTCAAAAAAATTTTATAATTTATGAAAATAATGGAATTCTTACAACGAATTTTATCAATTTTTTTTTAAATAATTGAATTCATGTGAAAAATTTTATTACTTGTAAAAATAATTGAATTTATGCAACGAATTTTATTACATTTTATTTAAATAATTATATTCTTTTAAAAACTTGTATTAAAAATGTAAATTTTGAAAATTTTTGAATTTCAGCGAAGAGTTTCATTATTTGTGAAATGTACCTAATTTAATTCTTGCAAAAAATTTTTGAAGATAATTTTATTTTTCGAGAAACTTATCTAAAATTGTATTAAAAATAATTGAAACCATGTGAAGAATTTTATTATTTATGAAAATAATTGAATTCTTGCTTAGAATTTTATTATAATTTTTGTAAATAATTAAATTTTTTTTTAAAAATTTTTATGGAAATTAAAATTTTTATAAAACATGAAGATATTCTTATAAGTTGTTTAATTTTAAAAATGTTTGAATTTGAATGTTTTGAAGAATTTTAATTCCTATGGAAAAATAATAATTAAATACTTACCTATTTAAAAATTTAGTTATTGATGTTTGCGAATAATTTTACAATTTAAGAAATTTGTAAGTAAATGTAATAGAATGTTTTTTTGAGTATCTAATAATTTTTAGAGTGAATCAGAATATTCTTTATGGTCAGAGAAAAAGTGAAAATTTTGTCTGGAAATCAGGGAAAAGTCAGGGAAAAATAAAATTAAATATTTGTGTCAATAATACATAATAATGAATGTTATGTACATAATAATAATGTTTTATTTGTGTCAATAATACATTGTCATATTACAATGGCGATCATTTTCAAATGAAATGCCTCAGTAGTAACATAATAATTTTTGAAAGACTTCATAGCGAATTTATGTTATTTTCTAATTAAGCGATAAATTTATAAAAATTATTATTATTATTTTTTATATTTAATATCAGTCTGATCTGAGGCAGAATGTTTACCGAGAGCGAAGAGTGCGAATGGCGGCTTCTACCAAGTAAACGAGATCGAAGTGGGGCCTTCTTGATCGATAGGAGTCCCACATACTTTGAGCCACTGTTAAATTATCTCCGACACGGTCAATTAATTCTTGATCCTAATCTTAATGCAGCAGGTTAGTAAAAAATTATTTAAAAATTTTTATATATTACTAAACAACAAATAATAGTGTTCAAAATATTGAGGCTTTAATACTTTTAAATTCTTTAACAAATCATTTCCTAATTATATTTTTCTGAATAACGGAAGAATCAACATTTTTATGAATACTTTTTCTTTATTAAAATAAATTTCTTTTACATTTATTCAAGTTATTTTTATAACTCTTTTTGCATTTTCTTAAAATACTTCTATTTGTCATATTTTGTTTTGCAAGATAAATTATTATATTTGGAATTTTATTAATCGAGCCAATATTTGAAAAATGAAATTTATCCTTTATTGTTGAGTCAATTTCGCTGATGCAGTTCAAATCATTTGAAGAATTTATTTTTTGATTCTTGAATTAATAAAATCATTATTAATTTGAAAAAAATAATGATTACTGGACACTTAAATCCAGCATATATTTACCGTTCCTTCGAGATGGAATAAATTATCTTTTGTTTCATTTAACTTTGTGTCACATGCACTATTAACTCCATTTGGCAATTGTAAATTTTGTTCTCGATCTTTAAAACACTTTTCTTTGTCTTGGCAAACGCAGAATGCTTCATCACTGAATTGATTAATATTCTTTAATTTTTCGTTTTCTGTATTTAAAGTAATATTTTTTAATAATTTTTTGCGTTTATTTTTTATATCACTTATTTCCTTTTCAATATTTTTTCGTAAGTAATTAAATGTGCTTTTTATCAAATTGTTCGATTTTCTTTCAATTTCGTGTATAGATGGTTGATAATATTCCTTTAATTCACTAAAAGCAATAATCTTTTAACTATTTACATAAAGGTTACTTTATAATTTCTAATCAATTTATAATTATGTAGAATTATGATTAATAATTTCTAAGTATTTTGATAAGAATTTTTATTTAGAATTTTTAATTATTTAATTTATAATTACCAATAATCTTTGTGAGACTTTTTGTACTGTTCGTAAATTGTTTCATTATTCATTATTGTTATTAAAAGTGATGCAAATGTCTAAGTAAAATATTTCTAAATTGTTAAAATAATGTTGAGCAATAGTGGAAATTTTTTTCTATTTTGTGATTAAGGGCATGTTAAAGTCGTTCCATTCTTATTTGTCTCCATTGTACCATTCCCTATATAATTCTTACAAATTTTGTTACAAATCTTCCTAGATATGAGAGTGAGACGTCTTTTACGAAAACACTTTTTATTATGAATGGCATTAAAAACTTGAAATAAAAAGGTTAAATCGATAAATTGTGCAAATTTAAATTAAACAATAAGTTTATTAATTAAATTAAAATTTTTATGTACGTGAGAAAAATCGAGATAAACATATGAATTTTTTTTAATCCAAAAATTAATATTTTTACGGTTAAAAAATTCTTTTCTTTGTTTTGAAGTTTATTGAGAAACACGTTATCTTTTGTTTTAACTATTGATCTTGATTTTCAATTATATATTTAATTTGTCGATTTTCACTTATAAAGATAAATTTAAAAAATTTTTTTGCACACCTTATGTTTGTAGTTCATTTTATTCGAAATAAATTTAAGAATTTATTGTTTTATAGAATATTGTGATCAAAATTTTATATCACAGAATTTACATTACGTCGAATTTTAATTTATCGAAATTTTCATTTGATAGAATTTTTTTTAAACAGAATGTTCGTCATTTAGACGAATTTTTAGTAGACATAGAAAGCGATGGCCATATCCGAAACATTGATGTGTAGGTGGTCAAAGAAAGCGTTTGATCTAGCGAACACACAGGCTGTGGTCTTTGTGGGAGACACATCCGTCCCTAAAGTTCTTAGCCATTCAATTAGTTCTTGTAGTGTGAGATTAACCCTATTCGAGATGTCATCGTCTTTTTTAAACCTGGTATACAAAAGCAAGTCGTCAGCGTACATGGTAAACTTCATGTCAGGGGGTAAAATGTTTAATATGTCACGTAAGTACAGGTTGAAGAGGATTGGTGAGAGGACACCCCCTTGGGGGACACCCACCCCACAAACCTGGAGGTCGGAGCCTTCCGTATTAAAAGAGATGTATCTTTTAGAAGTTATAAAGTTAATGAAGTTTATCATGTAGGGATTTATGTTGGGGTCTCTCAGTTGTTTGATGAGGATTTCAGGTCGCACATTGTTGAAAGCCCCTTTAATGTCGATGGATATAGCAAGTGTGCTCTGAGCCCTTGAGAAACCATTATAAATATCAGTGACGAATGAAGCGACAGAGTCCATGCTAGAACGCTTCTTGCGAAAACCGTATTGGTAACAGGGGATCAGTCCGCGTGCCTCAACATCATGCTCCAGTCTAAATTGTATGAGTTTTTCAAAAATTTTGGAGAACACAGAGGTGAGAGAAATCGGACGAAAACCCTTGCCGCCCGGTTTGGGTAAAAGAATAACCCGCGTTTGAAGCCATGAGAGGAAAAAAGAGGAGAGTAGGGCCATTCGGCTAAATAGAGTAGAGAGGAATTTATGTATAGCCGGTGTAAGACCTTTAATGATTTCTCCTGTAATACCATCAAGTCCAGGTGCAGTTTTAGGGTTGCACGAGTGGATGGCGGCTTTAAATTCTACACTGGTAAAGGGGAGGAAATTGTTGGTACTATAGGATTTTGGTGTGTTGATATAAGGAATATTAGAGGGAGGTATATCCTTGCGCAAGAGGTCATTTTGAAATTTTAGGACACTTGGAGATTGTGAATCAGTAGAGATGTTTGTAGATAGTTGGAATGTACGAGAAGAGAGAGCCTTCAAAGTACGCCACAGGGTAGAGGACCCTTTATCTGGAGACATATTCTCACAAAAATTCCTAAAAGCCAATGTTTTCTGTTCCCTTAGCTTGTATTTTATAGCATCATTCCTTCTTTTGAATATTGCCCTATTTTCAACCGACTGATTGGCCTGAATCTACCTATAGTTATCTCTGCGCTCTTGCAATCCGCGTTCCACCATAGTGGTTTAGAGTAAGGTCTGTAGTTTCGACCCTGAGGAACAAAGGCCTCCCCGGACAGCAAGCTTTGCTTAAGAGCGAACAGAAACTCCTCATATATATCAGCAGGAGAGTCAGCGGTGCCTAAGGACCGAGCCAAATCAAGGGCAACCCGCTCTACAGAAGTTCGAAACTTAGACCAGTCGAGTTCCTTTAGGCAGTATTTGAGAGATGCAAAGGAGACTTTTTTCGGTCTGATATCGGCCGACAGAAGAACAGGCAGATGATCAGAAGGAAAGGCGTCAGAGATGACAATAGTAGAAGATGACTGCAAAATGGATGCCGAACAGAGGATTAGATCGAGGTTACTGCCAGAAACATTGGCATTTTAATATCTCGTAGGTAGGGTAGTGTTCGATGCGTATAGATTTTTAAATAGAGAAAAAGTGAGCAACGAGGTGACGAGGAATATCACCTCCTGGGGGGGTCATATAAACAGGAGATCTGTGTTTCACCATATAAGGTAGAAACGATTATGGATACGAGGTCAATTTAGAGATTCGCAAATTGAAAGGTGTTGCGTTCTGTAATTCGAAAAGCTATCTCCCTGCGTATAATAATCATAACACCTCCACCTCTGTCATCAGGTCGGTCTTGTCTGACTGTGATGAAATTAGGAATCTCAAAGTAGAAAGGTGTGGATAGCCAAGTTTCTGTTATGCAGACAATATCCGGATTGTGAATCCATAACAGTGTTTCTAATTCCGATCTTTTAGGGATAATGCTTCTCGCATTCCACAATAAAAAAGATAAAGATTTATTTAAAGATCTGTATTGTTGAGAGGACATACTAGAGACAGGTATACAGTCAGGGCGAGCATGCAATGTAAAGTAGAGCAAAATAATTTAAAATTGTTATTACTATTACTAGGGAAATGTATTAAAATCAGTCCTACGTCACTTAGGTAAAATATAGTATTGATGTCCAATAAAGTTCAGTTAGGTCATATATAAAGACAAGACGCAGATTACAATTTATAGCAAAGAACAAATATCTATTTGGAGAAGACATCTTCCTCCATTTTACTGTCACTAGATTGATTCGTAGGTGAATTCTCAGTGTTGGGTAATTTGTCAGTGTTAGAGTGCGTGTCAGAAAGCTGTGAGTGAGTTGAAGAATTGTCGATGGATGTTGGTGTAGGGGGATCTTCTACATCCATAGATGCAGCTAAATTCACATTAGTGTGTTCTATGTTACCCTCCCAAACAATCTCATAGCCAGGTCTGGTAATACCTTCATTTAGTAGTTGTTCAGCCTCCTCATATTCAACATTACCCTCAAGTCTACGCCTCATGATCAGATATTCGAATTGATAGAAAGGACAAACGCGTGCAGAAGCAACATGTTTTCTAGAGCAGTTAGAACAACGAGAGGGGTAATTGCGTTTATCGCAGTCCCGCTGCGTTTGGGGGGAGGAACGCATAAAATAAGTTTGAAGGTCGCCCTTGAAATGAGGATCGAGTCAGGAATGGTGATACCCGAGAAGGCAAATTCCACGAGTCCTGAAATCTCCTTTGGATTCAGTGTTCTCCTACGAATGGAGATGATGTTCTCTAGAGTTTCGGGTAGTAACTTAGTACTGATAGTGTGCGGGGAAAGGTCAAGATCTACGTCATGTGCCCAGGCTTTCCTGCTAACAAGGGATGTTGGAATAAATAGTTTGTACCCTTTTGAACGAAGGTCTTGAGAATTATATTGTCTACCTTCTAAAAAGAAGAGCCATTTTCACTCGGGCACACAATTATTGTACCTTTTTCAATAATGTTATCCAAGAAATCTACTTTTCTAATCGTGTTGACTTCTTCACTGGTAAATATTCGCAATGAATCAGATAAATCAAAATAACAATGTAAATCAACGAGTAATGATATTTTAATTAGTTTATGGTCATAGGAAATTGTTTTCGAAGTCTCATTGTTTAAAAATCGGTAGTTTTGACAAAGTTGGTGTTTTACAGCGATAGTTTTGCACACAT